TAAGCAGGTACTGCAGCTTACCCAGCTTTTACCTACTCGTGGTTTGGAGGCCTCCCTGGAAGAGCATGGGGAGGCTGCACACATATGTTCAGCCATCAACATACAGCTGCCACTAAAGACTAAAGCAAAACAGCAAGGAAAGAAACAAACCGCAACTGCCCTTCCTCCCCGCAGCATCCATCAACCTTTCAGATTTGTTAGAGCTCTGCTTTCCTGGACATGTTCCTAGCTGGCTTCTCAGGCTTCCCACTTTACTCCTGGATATCATGAATTACGCTTGAACGCTTTTAACATGCCAGAACACTTACTATTTCAATAATGACTTCTCCAGATTTTTTTTTCTTTTATTATGAATGTAATGTTTCCAAACAACATTCTTGATTGTTAGACTTGAGCTGTATTGCTGTGATAACCCTCTAAGAACCCTTTCCCCTCCTGAGTTCCTGTTATCCTTACATCAGCTAGGAGACTTGGAGAAGGAACTGACTCACAGAAGAACTGGGTTGAAACAAATCATTGCTCACTTGAGCAAACTCAAAGCTAGCATTTCTTCTGGACAACCAATGGTTCACAGGTTACACCAACAGTGGGAGGTGGTGGCTTGCCAGGATATGTAGCACTGTTCATACTGTACATGATATTTGTGACATCTGCTTGGATGCAATTGTTCCTTCTCTGTTTGTTGGTGATTGTACCAATAACAGCCACAGCTGGGAAAAGTGAACTGTAGTTCCTCTTCTGTATGGAAAGCTAAGTGTTTGTCTGACAGACAGCTCCAGAGCTATAAGAGCAAGCTGAAAGGTCCTCCTGCTGCCTTATTACATCTGACAACCTCAACGCACCAAACACAACACGTGCTTTCAGGGGCTATAAAGATTGACTATTTCTGTTATTTCTGACACTTCATGACTAAAATGTTGGACTCGTGACCTAGCAGCACACACCGTACATAAACCAACAGTTCTATGTCCTTGAGCTCGGACAGCTTCCAACAAGATCCATAGACCTGCTGAAAGGAACACTTCGAGGAGGAAACAATTCATGAAGCAGCAGCAATGACAGCAGATACCACAGGCAGGCATTGATTTCTGCAGAAATTAGTTTGGGGAGGGGGGGGGAGATTGTTTTTTTGTTTTCTTTTTAAATGTACCACTGCTACAAGCAGATGCAGAATACGAGATACCTCCTGCATATGGGACGAAGAGATGCAGGATCAAACCTCAAAATACGTTTCAGTCTGGAGCAGAATGAGGTAAATACGCAGCATCCAGTCCATGCCTGGGTACTATTTTCAGGCTAAGACTCTAAAATTTCAACCATAGCATGCAACACATGAGACGGTTGTCATGAAAAACATTCCACATTATGAACTATTATTCTAAAAGCACCAAAAATTGGGCCAGGAATCTAATCCCCAAGTGATATCAAGTGACTTCTTATGCTATTTCCTTCCATCAAAGAAATCACATCTTGCAAGAAACAACAAAATAGACACCTGAAACTAAATTGTATATGGCAATTAAGATAAAAGACTAAAAAATCGGGTGCAAGAAAACACAGGTTAGTTGTATATTTTATATTGACACTCTGCTTTCCTTCCTGATGAGCTACAGAAATATTGCTGTAATAATATCAGCGTTTTTTTGCCTTCTAGTAATTATGTCACTGTATAATTGAAGCTCCTGAGATTGATGCAAGCACAACTCTATAAAACATAGTAAGAACCTATGGGTGGAAGATAAACAAGGAAGAAAACGGTCCGGAAATAAAACACAGTTTTTCTTATCAGAGTAATTAACGAGGACTAAAGTATATTCTCCATCACTGGATATCTTTTATCACAATGTTTGTCCAGAAGATTAAGGCATAGATTCAGGAAAATGCTACAGCTTGCATTAGGAAGAGGACAATGATTCCTCTGACTTCATAAGTTATGAGTAGGTTAAATACCTGGAAAAACAGTCTAAGTCAAATACCTTACTTTGCAAAAGCTAAATATTTGAAAGTTACCATAGTACCTCAATATTCCCAAGATGTACGGCAAGAGGACAGAAGAGAAACTCTGAAATACAGCCTCCAAATGTGGTCATTGCAATACATACCACTCAATTCTGGCAGGAACCCAAGGGCTACCTTCTTCAGGAGTGCAAGATAACAAAATTCCAGGACAAAAACATCTGTTTCTCAAGCAACTGGTGCCACATTGAAATTGTTGGCTCTTGATCAGAACTTATAGTAAGCACAGAAATATGAACTGACAAACTGATCATCACTGAACAGTGAGTAGCTCTCCCAGAGGATGCATGAACAAATGGAGCTTTAAGAGCAGACAGAATAAGCACAGGAAAGACTACAGTAGCTCATCCAACTACTTGATGCACACACTGAGAAGGACATGATGTTGAGAAATTCAAGCCTGACAAATTTCCCACTATTGAGCCAGGAAGTGGAAGGCTGGACAAAGAAAATATTGCTTTCCCTCTCTAGAAGATATTACATAAAAGCCTAACTGCACATCTAGAATATCTCAACATTCCTTTATGCTTCACTGTGCCATTTATACCTGCCTGCAAGATGGTATTGCTGCTTCAGGCTCAGCACAACCCAGGCCTTCCCTGCGGAAACTGCTCTCCGGAGAACATCCCTCTCTGGGGCTCTCGGACACAACAGGACCAACTCCTTGGGTACTCGAAAGTCCTCAAAGCTTCCTGCAAACATACAGATGTCTGCATCCCAAATCCCTAGTTTCACCATTCATGTTTCCCCCTTCCTCTCCCACACACACAGGTAAACTGAAGTGATATTCCAGCCAAGAAAGTCCTGCCACTGCTTGGAAGCAGCAGTACACTGGGGCTTCGGGCTCGGAAGGTCCATAGCAGGAATCATTTGCAACTAGAAAATGGGGGATGCCCACCCAGAGCATCTGGGGTCCATGCAGGGTGCTTGAAATGAGGAAGAGACAGACCCATCCATCAGGCTGCTGGGTTAACAGCCTTATCTCATGCAAGACACAGGTTTAGCAGCAAAAAAAAAAAACAAAGCTCAGTTCTCAGAGGAGCTTAAACTAATGAGTTGAGAATAGCGAACCATAAAAGTGATCGCTTTGCAAATCTCAATCCTAAGAAACCAATATGTGCAGAGTCTGAAAGGCTCCTCAGAGGGCATCACTTATACCATACATTTGATTTACATTTTTCAAGGAAATAATTGAGGCTCTTCAGCTTGCTACAAAAGGCCAAATGGGAAGGAGAAAACCCTCAAGATACCTATGTGGCAGCTTTGCAGCAGAATGAGACTAAACAAATGGAAAAGAACCTAAAATAGCTGGTGACAGTTTATCATTAATCAGCATGAATTACTTGGCAAAATACAGTATCTCTCACTGCAACTTAGTGGCACTTTTCCCAAAGAACTAATAAGAACACAAGTGCATAACAAGAGACTCCGGGAACAGGGGAAAAGGAATGTCATCACTGATCAAGTTGCTGATGGCAAGAAACAAAAAATGAGATGATACAGGGCAACACCTGTGTGGCAGAAACCATGACCGGCATGTTCCAGCTACTTCATTTGGCAAGGTTAAATTCACCACAGAAAATTCATAATCATACTACCAAAAAAAGTCTTCTGAAGTGCCTCCTTGCACCATCTCTTCAGCAGTTTCAGCATTTGCCTAGAACAGGGAGAATATTCCAAACCCTTCTTATAAAACTATCTATTCATGAAAGAACGTTACTATTGCAGATATGAAAGCACGAGGAAACAAGAGAAGCAGCATGGTTGTTAGGAAGCCTATAGACAAGCTTTCCAGATCAGGCAACCTACATCAAACCTACAAAGAAGTCCTTGTGCTGGCAGATCCTGGCAAATGATCCAACACCCAAATTATTCCATTCTTTCCGCAGTAATTTATGCACATAGATTTGGTGATCCGGACTTACAGGTCTTCTGAATTCAGACTTGTACTCTTAAACAGCTGAAGAAAGTAGTTTTACACTTACATGTGTCAGGATATACATAAGCATTTTTTTCTTAAAAGAAAAGCTCTACAGTGTTTCAAAACATGATTCCAATTGCTGTTAGATTTAAACAGGGAAAGCAGAAGTTCAGTGAATAAGTAAACTGAAGACCTTGCGTTTGCAGACCTTGCGTTTTGTAACATGCATAAGTAGCTTCAAACGAGGGCAGAGAGGTCAGAATTCAGACTAGTTCCCCCCCTGCTTGAAGTGTTCTTACTACTTTTATGCAAAGGATATACAAGAGTTTTTAAGTTCTCACAAAGAATTCAAAAATCTTGCTTGGAATATACTCTATGGCAATTCTGTTCATATCTAAAATCCCACGTTGCAAACACTAACTGTAGCTTACATCTTTCAGTAACTGGAAAAAAAAAAGGGGAATAAAGAACTTTCTATGCCTAAAGGTGATTAGAGATATACCCGAAAAGACTTTGAGCTTTATCTGTGAAAGAAAAAATGCAAAATGAGTGAAATTCTCAAACTTAAAAATAAAAAACAGGGTGCTCCATACTTGCACTCCTCCAGCTACTTTGCACATTCTTCTTTCGGGTAAAGATGGGTACTACCATGAGACCTGGAGCTGGAACAAGATGATTTTCCATGGACTGACGACCCACAAGCTAGAGATGGCTCATCATTACTAAAACTGCACAAATAGCACATTTCAAGCCATAGCATGAAGACTAACAGACATCAAAAGTCACCTTTGACACTCATGCCTTGAAAATGGCCTTTAGGTCAAACTAAAGACCTCTCCATATTCTGATAGAGAAGACAATTCCATGCAAACAGTGAAACTTCAACATTTCAGATATTATTTCTTCCAAATGTTGCAGAGGATTTGCATTTTAATCTATAGCAGTATAGACCATAATTTAGCTGATCTGATTTGTAGGAAATTATTCTCTGGCTTAGACTTTAAGTGAAGAAAACAATAAATAAACGATGTTGTCAAATCACAAAAAAACATACTGAACTGACCTTCCATTGCTCCTTGGGAAGCAGCTTCACTACCACAATGTCACCATTCAGGGCTCTGTTGCGAGCAACCACTCCATCAATAAAGATATCACGATACCCATCCTAGAGAAAGAGGAAGAAATGCCACAGCAAAACAGATTAAGTTACAGTTGTTACGAAGTTTAAAACACTATAATCAAAAAAGACACATACCCTGGGGAGACAAACATCCTACAGTTGTGCATGCAAATGAAATGGTTTCATCACATGTCCTCTGATACACAATGTCTTTCAGCAAATAACCTCCTTTGGGAGCCTGTGCCAACACAGTAGTTGCACAGTATTTACTCAATGCAGAGCCAAGTCTTCCAAACGTGTTGCCTGCAAAGTCTGCTCAGTTCCTCCACAGTCACTCTTGGGAACAGCTAGACAGTTTTCTGCAGTCACCCTTCTTCTCATATTAAGTGCCCACCTCAAGCCATATAGAAACCAAGTTTGTTGAGAACATGTTTCCATGGCAATCCCTGCGCAAGCTGCTCTCCTGAGCAGGTTGGGAAAACAGCATGGATGGGACGAGCAGCACAAAGATCCACACGTTGCCTTTCCAATGAGCAACGGTTTCCTTTTTAAATGAGGTATCACAGTATATCCTGGTTTGGGCACAACTGTTGCTAGAATAGATTCAAAATGGTGACCACAGGTGGCAAGCGCAAACCAGATCTTTGAAGGGAAGAGACGTGTCAGGACACCTGATGTTGCAGGTGTCTCTCACTGCACTGTGGTAGCCTCTACCAACCGAACACACCATGACTACCTGCCCTAGAAATGTTTGCCATTCTGCTAATCTAGACTTCATTTGGAAGATTTTCTTCATAGGGATGAATAAAGATGAAGCTTTATAAAGATGTCAACACAGAGGCTTGGGGTTTTAAATGACTGCCAATTTTGTCCTTTTTTGGCTAATTATCTGCAGTGCTCTTGCTGCTTTCATTTCCGTTTCCTCATACTTCAGTACATGGAGAATTCCATGTGGCTGTTTACAGTGCCACGAACATGTCAAACAGCATGAGTATTTAGTATCAACTTGAGCACTCAGTACAGTTTTTCTACAGAGAGCTACCGTTTCATAAATTTGAGATGCAAAAAGGAAAAGTTTCTTTACACTACAGCTCTTCATTTCTTTCTTCACAACAACAAAAAACAGCCTCAAGAAAAATAAAATCTTAATCACAACTCTAGTGACTTCAGTTGCACACTCCTGAAGATCAAATGCTTGAGTAAATCCAATCAGAAATAGCTGTATATTCAGCCTCCAAGAAAAACTTATTTTATAACCTGAAAACATGAGGCCTTAATAACACATAAATATCTTATTCTGCTTAGATACCAGAACAATAAAACGACAGAACCATGCCATGATGTGAAACTAAGGCTATCTTCCAAGAAACCAAATTACTCTTAGAAAGAAAAGCAGCAGCAGCAGCTCAACAGCTGTGTGAAAGCTGCCTCCCATGACAAGATGCAGAAAAATTGCAAAGCGTCTTGGACCAGCATAATTCAAATTGGAAACCGTTCTTTTCAAAAAGCCAGATTTTTTACACATGGTCCTACTCTTTTCTCCCCATCCTCTCTTCTCTTCCAACTTCTGACCTAAATCCACTACGTATATAAAAAGAAAAGTTCAAAGACACTTTTTAAATAAAGTGCATGTTTTTGTTTGCGTTTTAAATATCTGTACATGTAGCTGCTGGTTGCAGGCCACAGGCTGGCATTTGTTGCAATTTCATTGTTCTACACTTATTGCTGTTTTCTTTCTCCTTCTTTGTCCAAGAAAATGGAAGGCAAGGCCACTCCTCCACCCCTTACAAAGGCACCCAGTGTGTCACACTAGAAAGCTAAAGCTGCTTGTCTGTACTAGGCAAGAGTCTTGTCTTGAATTGCAGACAATTATTCTCATCTTAATATACTCATATATATATATACACACATATATGTAACATGCATAAAATATGTAGTGCAATTTTACAACAATTAATTTGCATACCTCTTACATAAGAAATTAGAAACTGGCCAGTAATTTTATTTTTGTCCCAAAATAGAAATATCTCTGTGCCTAGAGTTCTTGCCTCAGGGCTGCTGGGTGAACTTGCACATTTCCAAGAACACTTTATACTCCTCTTTCCTTCAGTGCCCAACTCCGCACCCCTGCACAGTTGCTCTTTTAGGTTACTCAAGCAATTAAAGTGCTGAAATGCAACACAATCATTTGCAAAGTTTCAAGTGCCCCGTGATTCGTACCATGTATTACTTGCAATAGCTTCAGGACTCCTGCAGCCCTCTCCAGGTAGCAAGGTGCTTTCATTCCCCAGTGGCCTTCTGGGAATATCAAAGTAGTGCACTCTATACCCATCTAACACAAAAAAAAACACCTGCAATCCTTCGCAGAATCACAGAATCTACTTTAATCTACTCTGGAAGCACATTCCAAAATTGCAGTCCAGCCACCTAAGACGCTCCTCCCTCACGCTCAGGAACCTCATTCTTCAAAATGACAAAGCCACAATTTCAAACGTCACAGGACTGCGAGCACACAAGACACAAGACAGGAGGCAGAGATTTCAGTGCTCTGTGCCCATTCACTGGGAGGCCTTAAGGATAAAGGCCCTGGGTCTTCCCCTCAGCTCTCTGCGACAGTGAGACAAGCAGAGCACAGTTGCAGCAAGAAATTCCCTGGGACTTCTGGTGTTAAAAGGTGAACAGCTGTTGTATTTGAACTCCATGAGGTCGTAGCCAAGTGAGAACTGAACAGAAAGGGGTGCAGAGCCTTAGTCAACAGCAGGAGAAAAAGGGTGATTTTTCACAGCTGCAGCTCTTGCATCATCTGGCAATGCTGGGAAGTCCTGCAGAACACCAAGGCCTCAGTGGCAAATAATGCTCTATGAAGGATAAAATTCCCAGACTCTTTCTCTCCCCTTACAATGACAATGTCCACACCAGCCACTTCCAGCTTCATCCAAGTGTTGAGTCTACTTGTGATTAGGGATGAGGCTGGTTCAGCTCCACAAATGAAAGAAAAATTAAAAGGATGAATGGGATACTAACTCAACTAGCCCTCCTACTGCAGATGTATTCCCACGAGCAGTAATCTCTCGCACGAGGCAAGAGCTGGGCACTAGGGCAACTAGGGGTAAAGTCTCACATCCAGTTAAACTTGTCTTTAGACAGACATCACTTAACCTTGCATTTTGTAATTGCAGACAGTATCTTAACAGCCTACACTTGTCTAACCTTTGCTGCCACATTACACAGTCAGTACTGCTTCCTTGAAATACCAAAGAGCTGCTTTGCACCTCCTCCTCCAATTAATCCTAAAAACCTACCTCATACACCTCTGTTCTTTCTCCACCCCTAAACTGCTAATGATCTTCCTAGGAAAGGGGCTCCATGACCTCCACTAAACAACATGAAATGACCCTACCACAAATTCCAAGACTTTCAACTGAACTCCAACACAAGAGTGCTGGCAGCAGCAGGGACATGAGAGTCAGTGTTTCACTCAGTGCAGGCCTTGTGTTCTCACTCTGCATACCAACAAACATTTCAATATGAAACTCGCTCTCTCATTGATAGAAACATTTTGACCAAGTCAGTTCCAGATAAAAAGCTTTGGCTGTGCCAGCTGTGAGGTCACTTCTCTACTGAAAGTCCTTGAAATTGCAAAAGCCCTTTTTTTTTGTCAAAATAAGAAAAGAGAAGAGGACAAACCAGTCCCATGTGAGTACATCCCAAGCCAACCAATACACAGTGAACGTAAAAGCAGGGACATGAAAAGGAATCACGTGCATTACTTTTGGAATGACTTTCCAAATTAGCTCATACAGCAGATCGAAAATGGAGAGCATATTTGTTTAGGGAAGATTAACTTAAATCAGTGGAAAATCTATAAAACCTCTGTAGCCATAAACCAAGGGTTTTCAATTACACTATCTAGTGGTCCTCAAACCTGAGTTCAGCTGGCTTCTCTAGGATGCAGTTGTAGCTCCCATTTCAGTACATGCTAAATAAGACATTCTTTGTCATATGAAAAAGCAAGATTTGCTTGGGAACATGTGATGAAAAACATCCATATCATGTTCATTGATTCCCAACTCATTCACCTCTGAGTGACCTTTCATAAACAGCATAACTTGTATCCTAATACACCTTCACTTATGAACTATAAAGCACTACATAATTACACTTACTGGGGATGGAATGAAGGCTTCGTGGTATTTCTTAGGATTTATTCTCAAGGGCCCCTTAAAAAAGAGAAGAACAAGAAAGATTATGCATGAATCTTATTAACTTTATACAACATCAGTTAAATTAGAGCTGTAATATATCTACTGTGAAACACAAGAGATCTATCTAAATTTTCATTATACAGTACAAGTCTTGTCAAGTTTGCATCCGAGCAATTTCAAGCCAAAAGGCAGTTTCATGATAGGCTTAAGCTGATCTACTGCAGTCTGCCACCAAAGAGATGTTGATTCATTAGCTGCTGCTACTGGATGAACCGAGGATCCAAGTCCTGCTGTTCCCTTCGCACATTCTCTCCCAAGTTTAAAGATTTCACCACCTTTATTAACAAACTGACAGTCAGAAACAGTTTGTTTTGCTCTGGTTTAGAAAGGGAAAGTATTAATTTTGCTTATTTTGGAGGGCAGGAGGAAAAGGGCAGAAGCTGAGCTGCTAAAGTAGCATGGCAGCGGGTGTGAGCCGTGCGGGGCTCTGGCTGTTCCAGTAGACACAGTAGCAATAACTCAGTGATAAAGAACATTTTCTAAGATGAATAGAAAGGATTTTCCAAAAACAAACATTTAAGGTCCAAAAGATTAAATACTGTTTAAACACTTTTAAAGTCAAACCATTTTGAAAACATTTGAAAGTCCTGGGTGTATCTATTTCAACTTTGTTATCTGCCAACTCAAGATTCAAATCCTTGCAACAAATACGTATGACCCCTCCAAAGTAAACCAACCCGTTTTCTGCTTGCACTGAGGTACACCACAGTTAACAAGAGAAAGGGAGAACCAGTGAATTACAGACTATGCAAAAGTGCTGTTTCCACCCTAAAAGGGGCCTGGGAACTGTGATTCAGGTGGCCATTAAACCTGACAACATTTGATTCTTCTGGAAAGGCAGCTCTGTTAACCAGGCATCTGCCTGCGTAAAGGCTGTTGCTTTGCTCTGAAAATGTAAAACTTTCTTTATCTCTGTATTGAAAATAATGTTGGCCAATTTGTTATACGAACAGATTCCATCTGTTTGCACTTCTGTGTTAAGCAATCAGAGGAACCTCTCACAGGAATTGCTTCCTTTAAAATTTACCGCAGCATATAATATTTTGTTTTATGTATTCTGGGAAACACTTAGACAATAGAATAGTAAAGCTGATTGCACATGAAAGACTTGCTGCCTTGAAGAAGGCTCTGCAAATTTATGAAGATTTTCTGTTGTTTTTATTTGCTTAGGTATTTATTTGCTTGGGTTTGGAAATACCAGCACCCCATGCTCTCTATTCATGACATTTTATTTGGGCACTTTTCTGCAATGTCTTATTTTACACCTTATTTAACAGTTATTAATGTGCAGTCTGGCCACACAGCAAGCACTACCCAGGACAATGGCAAGAAAAGAAAGATGATGGCTGGGCTCAACCCTGGGAATACTTTATGGTTAGGCAAAGTGAGAGCTAACCTGCTGTCAGCAGCCTCTATTAGCACTGGTGCCTTCTGACAGAAATCTCCATGTCTTCCCTCAGCTCT